TTTTAAATTTTACCAGAGATGCCCAAGAAGCTGTGGACGTTGTTGAACACTTTCTTCAAGGTTTAGAAAAACAAGAAGAGCTTACTTTAGAGAAGGAAATAACTGAGAAAGAGGCGGCTGAGAAAGACTTCCAAAAGAAGAAGCTAAAGCAAAGCTTAGTGAAGCTCACAAAGGGCTGATAGAAGTCTACCATGCTTTGATGGTTTATGCTAAGGAAAGTCCTGAAGACTTCAAAATCTATATGACCGCCAAGTGGGAGCTTCTACAAGCATCAATGAGAAGGGCAAGGCTGCTGAGGAACAAGTCTATTCACCACCAATCCCTTAATCCTCCTAAGGTTTTCACTAAAGCTGAAAAGGCTGTTAAGGACATGCAAGATGTTGGGATCATGATGCTAAATGGCACTACTTTACTTGTAAGTTAAAGAGCAAGTCCGCTTTCTCAAAGAAGTGTCTGACAACTTGGAAGTTGTTGAGCCTATATTAGATAATGTGAGAGCTAACAAGAAGAAGAATAAGGAGCTGAAGACATTAGCCAAGTTACCCAATCCTGGTAAGTTCTAGGTGACTTGTGAGATTGGTACACTGGACAAAGTGGAGGCATTGTGCGACTAAGGATCTACTGTGAATGTGATGTCCCTTCACTTGAGCCTTGCAAAGCATCTATCACTTTTGTGGACAACAATTCAAGGCGCCCACTAGGAATGGTAAAGGACTATCCTCTAAAGCTTGGCAATTGTCTCATTCCCACATATTTTATTGTGATGGAGATATCAAACTCCAAAGAGCTGTCATTACTCTTAGGCACACCCTTTTTTGCTACAACTGAAGCTCAGATTGACTTCAAGAGAAGTTATAGTTGTGTTGAAGAATGTTGATGAGTTCAGAGCCTACAAGAAAGTGTCTCCTTCTATTGCATGCATTTTGTGGAACCATTGTTGAGAAATAGGTTGAGCAAAAGGACCTTCTTAAGTGTGTGGAAGAAGCAATGAGTTTCACCATGATGATGATGATGATGATGAAAGAAACTCTTCCTGATGAGCATTATAAAAGGGATAATGAAGGAAAGAAGCCTGGAGTTGGCTTGAAAGAAGAACTAGTGATCATCAAAGAAGAAGAGAAGCCCTTTTGCTTCCCATCAAGTTTGAAGAAAAAGTGGTACAAGAAATCAGCTCGTGATAAGAAGAGGCTGCAATCTGTTGGTACTTGGGTTTACATGAAGAAGGGAGAAGGAGTTTCTGCTCCATCAACTTCTTCCCACTAAGTTACCGAGCATCAAAGTCAAGCTTAGTGACTTAAAACAAGCACACTTGGAAGGTAATCCCATGATTATTCCTGTATATATATGCTTTCTTTTATTATTGATGTGTTTATTAAGTGTTTCAGGAGTCAAAGAATAAGATACAAGGTATGTTGGGTGTTCAAAAGCCAAAGAAATGAAGACTCTGTTTATGTATCGGGTACCATATCGGACAGAACTGTTATTTCTGCCTGATACACTCTATATCGTGGAAGATGCAGTCCGTACATCGAGCAAGATGCACGGGGGAGATTGTATTGGGGTAAATGCATCGGGCAGAACCTCCAAAACTATGCTCGATACTATCACCCAAGGAGCCTTAGTCCATACACCGAAGAAGTGGAGTCGTACATTGATGAAGATGCATGGGGGAGATTACAACGAGAAGTTACATCGAGCAGAACCTCGCGAACTCTGCTTGATACTGATGTCATTGCATTTTACATACATTTTGCATGCTCATTAGGTAGTTTTTCATGCATTTGTATCATGTTTTAGGTTAGATTTGCATCACTTAGAGTCCTAGAGCATTCTTGCATCAGCATTTGCATTTACTCTGCATTTTGCATCCATTCCAGGTTGTTTATGGTTGCTTTGGAGACACGGAGGTTCGTGGAGGTGTGGAGACCAATGTAGCGGTTCATGGAAGCTTGGGAAAATGCTAAGGACCAGTGATCGAGGAGCAGATCGAGCATGGCCGGTCGATCTAGGAGTTGATCGACCAGAAGATCGAGCCAACTAGGCCATCCAAGGATAATGATCGAGAAGGAGATCGAGTGAAGCAGTCGATGCATCGGTACGGACGTAAATGACGCCATGCAGAGCGAGAGCCGGATCGAGTACACCACTCGATCCTCCCGGAGATCGATACCGAGATCGGATGCAACACTCGATTCGCCGAAGGAGATCGAGGCCCGGATCGAGCCGAAGACACGATGCCCGGATATGATCGAGAGACCAACTCGATCCAATGGTCGATCTCTGTCCTTTCAACCGTTTTTGGCTGTTAGCGACGGGGGGGACCATTGGACTGTCTTGGCATTTTTGGCAAAGGCGGCGACTACTTTTCGACAACTTTTGAGATTTTTACCTTCTCTCCCAGTTTTTAGTTTTTCTCTCTCGTTTTCATCGAAGAACACCATTGTAGAACAGTTTTAAGCTTTTGTATTTTCGAACCTTTATCGTTTTTAATCCAGTTTATCTTTCATGTTTATCGTTTCTTCTCTTCGTCTTTGCTTGATTTCCTTTATGTGTAGTGAGTAGTTCATTCAGGGTTAAGGGTTGAGAGGATTAAGGGGTAGAAAAGGTTCGATCTTGGTTTGTTTTCAAAAAGTTTTAAATCTATCTCTTCTAAGGTGATGAAAGCTTAATGCTTGAAGACTCTCACGCCAAGAGCTTCACGATCCGAGAGGTCCCTTACCTTGACAGGATCCAGGGACCTCGGAAGATCTCACCTTAGTGATTAGTTACCCCTTCCCAAAAGCCATGGTAGTTTGGGGGACTAGTTAAGCCATTGTTCGAAATCTGTTTTCCTTGCCTTTCAACCTCTTTTTCCACCAAAAGCCATGGGTTTGGAGGAGAGGATGAAAGAGTGATCTATACTGAAAGCCACGGATAGATCTTGTTTTGTTTTCGAGGCTTAGAGACCCTCACCAAGTGAGTCGATCTAAAGTTTCAAACCCAAGGTCAACCTTTGAAACCCCTTATATGAATCTCGACCCTGAAACCCTTCTCTTTAGCTTATTTACGTCGCATATCATCTTTTGCTTGTTGCTTGATAGCTTCCTGGTCTTTAGATTCCTTGTTCTTACGATTTTAGACGAGATCGATCGTTTCTGCTCGATCTAGTGGTCGATCTTGTGGTCGATCCACTAATCTAATTTTAACAATTCGAAGCTCTTCCCTTTAATTTATCTGTTTGTTCCTCGTGGTAACTGCTTGCTTTCTAGTATTTTTAAAATAGGTTTCACTCTGTTTAAGTTGCTGCAATTAGTTTTCAAGATTTTATCAACAAACTGTCTCATTTCACTTAGATTTGTCCTAGATCTTGCATTCTCTGTGGATTCTCTATCACCTAGAACTGGATTGACACTCTCTGCTTGCCTTACTACAATGTTGCATGCATTAGAGTTTTGATAAGTTCTCTGCTGCATTAGACCGTAAGAAAGAAAAGCGATTATCAGATACAATCGAGAAGACCGTACACCGAGCTGACTGAACCATACATCGAGGAGGAAGCCTGATGGCAATCACACCGGGGAAGGGGATGACGTACATCGGGCAAAACACCTCTGTTTGGCCCCATATGAAGGACCTCCGATGTTTCACGCTTGGGACGACAGTCAATACGTCGGTGAAACGAACACCACAGCACACGAGCAGTAAACGACTTTATTTTTCATTTGTCTTTCAAAATGGATTTAAATTTTTGAAAATCAATAATTTTCTTGATTAATTATAATTTTGCTACATACCGGTTCTTTTTTTTTTTACTGCAATGGGAATTCACAGAAACTCAAAAGAAAACAGAGTAGTTTGAGCCAAAGTATGAACTCATAAGAAACAGAGCATGAAAAAACAAAAGGATTACACCTTTAGACCATGGCAAGTGGTTCTCCACTGCCCCTATGTTCCTTTGATTCTTTACGGAGAGAATCAATCTTTTTCCGGAAGAAAGTAACTTCTTTCCTCATGGGATCAGCAAAATCTTTTTCAAGGTCACCACAACAGATATCATCCACAAGAATAAGCCTTCCTCTTCTTCTTCTTTAATTCCTCCAGTTAACATTAATAGTTTAAACATAACACAAAGCTCGTATAATTGGGATTCTCTTAATAATAATCTCATTTATAATTGATGATGACAGCAGACAATCTCTAGTATAGACCGGAACAATTCATCTAAACCAAAGTAAACCAATTTTATAATCAGTTATGTTCTCTTCCAACGTGTTCAAGGGGACAATAGTAGCCTGCGATCTTTTGCAACACATTAGTTTCTTCAACGACTTCTCATCATTAATAATAGCATTCATAAATAAACATCCCACATACAGAGCATTCATACTGAAATTATCTCATATCGTAAGTCTCTCTCTCTCTCTCTCTCTCTCTCTCTCTCTCCCTCTCCCTCTCCCTCTCCCTCTCCCTCTCTCGGCAAACTCTATGGATCCAGATTCTGAGCCTATGCTCATTGCACTCATTTCACAAGTAATAATTCTCGATGACAGTACGGAGGATTGGGACTGCGGGCCAAATCTCATGTCACTAATTATTCAAATAATCTCTCTACTGAGATCTATGGATTTGGGGGATTCGCAACAGAAGCCTGAGTCGAAGTTTATGTCACTCAATACTCAAACAGTCTCTCTCTTAAATTTTACAAATTTGGATTCCTTGCCGAAACCTCTGTTTGAGCTCATATCACTCATTTCTCAAAAAATTCTCTACATATTCAGACCAGAAGCTGAAGTCTGATATGAAGTTCATGTCAGTCCTTAGGAAAACAGAAAAAAATCAAGTCAGATCATGAGCTCATATCACTCATCCATCAGATATTCTCTTACGACATCTCTACGGACACATAGTTGAAGCTCATTTCACTAATTTCTCAGCTGGTGCTTAACCGCAACATTAACCATTCGCAGTGGGAGTCACAGATCATACCACTGGTTATTCAAATAATCTCTCTGGTGAGATCTATGGATTTGGATTCCCAGCGAAAGCCTGAGTCGAAGCTCATGTCACTCGTTACTCAAGCAGTCTCTCTCTTCATCTCCATGGATTTGGATTCCCTGCTGAAACCAGTCTAATCTCATATCACTCATTTTTAAGAAAATCTCTTCATATTCGGACCAGGAGCCTGAGTCTGACTTTAACTTCACTTCACTCCTTGATGAAACATTGAGACTCAAGCCAAATCCAAAGCTCATATCACTCTTCCGTCAAACAGTCTACGTCATCATCTCTATAAATTCTGAATCAAAGAAACTTATTGGCATTGCATGTTTGGAGAAACCAACTGTCTTATATATACCCCTTACGAAGTGGTATGAGCATACACTTGCTCTGTTTCCTATACGGGCTTTCTTAACATGCAATGTATGCGCCTTTGCTGATTCAAGCTCTCCTATCTATATGTGTCCCCCTTGTAACTTTGTGATCACCTAAGATGTATCAAATTATGATATCATGGTTTTCTATGGTTTTAAACTATGATACAAGTCCCTTTTATTGGTTTTTTTTATCTTTTTAGAGTTCTAGTAGAGTCTTGCCAGGTTATAGCATGACTAGTGCATAATTGAAGGTTTTGGAGCTTTTTAGATCATTGCAAGAATCAACCACGAAGTTAGCAACTCAGAAGGTGTTACATGACATTGGTGACGATCATCACCACTCAAGGGTGACGCTTGTCACCTGCATCTAAGAAGGAGTCACGACCTTTTATCAAAAGATAGAGAAGATATTGCACTTTGGTCCAGAAGTTTCACTAATTACAAAAGTGTCACAGCTCGTGTTTTAGCTTGTATATTAGATTTTTCAGCAATTCTTTGGCATCTATCTTAGAACTGAGAATTCACAGAGATTTAGATAGAGATTTATTCAAAGCTTTTGGGAAGACAAATCCTGTACTCTTTTAGAGAAGATTTCGAACCCTTTTATCTTATACTCTATTCTTTTAATGCAGTTTTATTCAGCTATGCTTTGTGCTTTCATGATCATGTCTGAGTAATTAAGTTATGGCTTTTTAAAGGTTGATGAGGAGTTTGTAGAATCACAAAACTGTTAGGAATATTTATTCGTTCTTCATATGTGCTTGCATTCATATCGATTTCTTGGACTAATCATCTAGATTTCGAAGCCCTAGATTGTTTAATAGATGTGAGAACATTGTTAATCACTTGAATTAGTATTAGATGAGCAAAACACCTATTCGCAAAGATATTTGACTTAGAAGTTTTGTGAATAATTGAACATGATCATTACTGCATGCTTTGATTGTTAGAATTTGCAAAGAGATTATGTGATTTAGGCATAGATAACTTCTGCAACGAGAGTTGATTAGTTTTAAATTGTGTTTCAAGTTCTAGACGGTTCTAATTCATTCCTGATTGCATGCATTCTATATTCTCGGATTCAACCTGCGAATTGTCCTGACTTAGCGCCTTTAGCTTTCTGAAACTTATATCAATCAACAAATTTCGCCTGCTCTCATTTATTTTGCTATTTCGCGTTACATACATTATTGATTGCTTAGCTTAATCCGAACCTGAAGTCTATAATGTAGTTAACTTACTCCCTTGGGATTCAATACCCTTTTATGCTACAACATCTTTGCTGTGCACTTGCAGTAGTAAATTAATTTGGTAAAACCTTAGCCCGATCAAGTTTTTGGTGCCGTTGCCGGGGGGAGTAATAGCTGCCTATCAATTTTTAGTATTAGGATTTTGTCTAAGTTTATAATTGTTTACTAACTTTCTGCTACTTTCTTTGTGCTGGTTTCAGGTGTAAGCCTAATCGCAGTACCAGAAGCAACAAAGAGAAGGAGCTTGTGACTTTGGGCATTGACGAACTAGCTTAGTTGGAAAGGACCATCAGGAAAGCTAAGAAGCAATCTACAATGGTCAATACGCTGATCATGGTTGAAGATGCAGAAGGTCACTTTGTTGACAAAGATGGGAACATGGGGAATGAAGAAGGGCAGAGACTGGATCATAATAAGAATGTCATAGTTGAACAGGTGGTTCCACAAGTGGCAAATAAGGCTGGAGTCACTGCTGCTGGGATTGCTGTTGGGCGTTTTGTTCAGAGGACTCTAGGACATGACCAGTTTTATGCCAACAGAGCTGCAATCTGCCCTCCTACTTTTCAGAGAAACGATTTTGAGCTCAAGCCTGCTTATTTTCAGCTAGTGGGTCAGCATTCCTTTCATGGCTTACCACATGAGCATCCTATGGATCACATAGAGAGGTCTAAAGATTTGGATTCAAGTGTCAAGGCTAACGGAGTTAGCAATGATTTCCTGTTCTGCAAGCTATTTCCTTACTCTCTTAGAGGAGATGCAACTTATTGGCTGAAGCAACTGGAGCTTGGATCGTTGACTACTTGGGAAGACACCAAAAATGCCTTTCTGAACAACTTCTATGATGATGCTAGATCAGAAGTCTTGAGGACGAAAATTTCTACATTCTCCTAAGGACCTACTGAAGTCTTATGACAGAGACTGTCCTCATCATGGTTTCACTCAGGTGCAGCTGCTTAGAATTTTCTTCAGAGAAGTGGTCTGAAAGTATCAGATGGCGTTGGATGCTTCTAGTAGGGGAAACTTCAACACATACCTTCCTGATGCTGCAATAACTCTGATTGAAAACCTGGTTTGCAGTAACAACACCAAGAATGCTGACTTTCAAAGGATGAAACAAGCTGGTTTGAATGATCTGGAACCAAATTGCTGAGGTTAAGGCTAAGCTGGACAGTATGCATAGCCTTATGGTGGGAAAGAAATCAGTCCAATGTGCTGTAGAAGTGGAGACTTTCAAAAATCCAGAGGAGATTGAGCAGGAGGATGTTAACTTCATCAAACCTGGTGGATTTCAGGTTCAAAGGTTTGGAATCAGCAATGGAACAGAGGTTACAACAAAGACAATCAGAAGAGCACATTCACATGAAACCAGAATTCTTCTGGTTACACACCGAAGCCTCAGTCTCAGAAGACTGTGTTTCAGAAGCCTTACCAGAACAGCAGCAACTTCAACAGGAATTATGGTTCTTCTTCCTACCCACGTCCACAAGACAACAAGATGGAAGATTTGCCGGAGAAGATCCTAGAAGGACAACAGAGGATGACAGTGGACTTCAATGACAAGATAGATCCGCTGAATGGGAAAATTGAGTGTCTGAACTCTCACATGAAGAAGCTGGAAGTTCAGGTTGCTCAAACTGCAGGAGTTGTTCAGAGGCAGAAGGGATTCCTTCCTTGGAAGGACTGATGCTAATCCCAAACATCATGTGAATGCCATCACATTGAGGAGTGGAAGGAACCTGCAACCAGTGTTGAAGAAGGGTTTGAGTACAGAGCAGTTCGTGGGACTTGAAAGTTTTGAAGATGATGAAATTCCTGCTGAGAATGAACGAGTGACGATCGTCACCCCTGAGGAGTGTCGCTGGTCACCCACTTTAGAAAGGCTTTAATTCATCCCCCATCCGTGACGATCGCCACCAGAAGGGTGACGCTCGTCACCAATCATGAATCACAGTTGCTTCACTTGAGACTTCAAACAATGCTAAGGAAACGGTGTATAAGCCTAAGATACCCTATCCTAAGCATCCTAAGAAGTCTAAATAGGAGCTTGAAGATGCTAGATGCAAGGCTATCATGGACAAACTGGTCATTGAGATTCCCTTGGTTGATGCTGTGCGGATTACTCTTGTTATAAGGAGATATGTGAAGAGGATGGTGACCAACAACTTGAGCGTGGAGCAAGGAGAAATGATGATCAACGAGCAGGTCAGTGCGGTGATTCAGAACAGAGTACCTTAGAAGCTTTCAGACCCTAGAAGCTTTGTGGTGGACTGCACTATATTTTCAGACAGGTTTGAGAGATCGTTGTGTGATCTTGGTTCTAGTGTGAACCTGATGCCTCATTCTGTTGCCAAGAGCTTAGGGATGACCGATTTAAAGCTACCAGTATATCTCTAGTCCTAGCTAATAGATCAGTCAGAATCCCTTAAGGAGTTATAGAGGATGTGCCTATTAAAGTAGGAGACTGCATGATTCCTACTGATTTTGTGGTTTTGGAATATAAAGAAGAACCCAAAGATCCTCTGATTCTTGACAGACCTTTCCTGGCCACTGCAGGAGCTATTATAGATGTCAGGAAGGGAAGAATTGAGCTGAATGTTGGTGACTTGGTGATGAATTTCGAAATGGACAAGCTGATGAAGAGGCCAACTATAGATGGACAAACATTTTATATGGATGTTCTCACCAACCTTGCTGAGCAGATCTTCCAAGAGATGAGTCCAGAAGATCCCTTAGAGAGGGTGTTGACCGAGGAGTTGCATCGAGTATAACATCCAAGGTTCTGGTTGATATGGGTTCCGGTACGACAACCACCGATGAGAACAGCAACCATGTACGAGACGTTCTACATCGAGGTGTGATAGGGCTCAGGTTTTACCCAAATAAAACTATTGCAAGTGCACAGCAAAGCAGTTGTAGTACACGGGGTATGTAAACTACACTATCGAATGTAGGTTCGGATTAAGCTAAGCAGTAAGCGATGTATGTAATGTGAATAATAAAATAAAAGTAAGCAAACAAATTTTAGTTGTTAATCTAAGTTTCAAAAGACTAAAAGCACTAAGTCAAGACAATTCGCAGGTTGAATCCGAGAATGTAGAATGTATGAAATCAGGAATGATTAAGAACCGTTTTGAATATGAATTGCAAATATATAACTAATCAATTCTCATTGCAGAAGTTAACTATGTGTAAATCATGGAGTTTCAAATCTCTTTGCAAACCCTAACAATCTAAACATGAAATATGATAGAATTCAATTATTCACAAAACTTCAAAGCCAAATCTCCTTGCACTAAGTTGTTTTGCTCATCAAATACTAGTTCAAGTTGTCAATAATGATCTCACATATATTTAACAACCTGTGACTTTTGGATTTCTAGATAATGTGTCTAAAAAATCGATTTTCAAGCAAGCAGAGATGAAAAACCAAAAGATATTCCTAACAGGTAGCAATTCTAGAAACTCTTCATCAACCTTTGAAAAAGCCCTAACTTAACTAACAAACTACTCAGACATGATCATGGAATCACAAAACATAACTGAATAAAATTGCGTTAAGAGAATAGAATAAAAACAAAAGGGGTTCGAAATCTTCTACAAAAAGAGTACAGTATCTGTCTCCCCAAAGGCTCTCAATAAAATCCTCTCTAAAGCTCTCTGAATTCTCAAAAACTAATATAAAAGCCAACAATGGCTGAAAAACCTAATATATAGAGGCTAAACACGATCTGGAGTGTTCTTG